TTAACAAAAAAAAGGGTATACAGATGAATGTCCATTTTGTATCTGTGTATTCAAAGTGGTTAGGATAGATATATAGTTACATTCTCTTAATGAATAGAGTAATTTGTTCTAATGGTGTTTGTAAATAGGACATCATGTCTGCATCTTGTACAGCAGTTAACCACTAGGAAGAATGTATGCAGTGTGTTAATTATTGAAACTGTCCTACCAATTTGATTTGAAACTATCTCATTGCTATTTGTTTATCAATAAAATTATGAGGAAAAAAATAAATGAGCAAAATACATTTATTGAGAGAAAGAAAGCTCCTATCCAAGAGAGGGACAGGAGGGGGCCCTGAGCGGGTAGTTCTTCCCGGAAGCTGTTTCTTCCAGTGACTTTTATAGAGGAAAACCATGTGGTGAGGCAGGTCTAAGGTGATGGAGAAGACATGGGAACTCACCATTGCTCAGGTAAAAATTGATTAAATCCAAGACCAAATGAGGAAGCCAATCATGTAGCAAGTGGGCAAGAATGTGGGACAGGGTCTCCTCCTGTTGGGGTTGGGCTAGTGACTCAATAGGGCTCTTTCAAGTTGATTGATACCTATTTAGAGTATCAATCCCTGATGCCCATCCCGAGAGAAGTATATAGCTGTGTTTCCTCTTTTTGTCTTGGTCTTGAGATGTAGCCCATATGGGAATGTCTGTCTTTTCCCAGTTGTAAAGTTACCTTGTCTTCCATCTTGTCTCCTTGCGGACCTGGCCCTGTCTGACTCTCTGTAATTCTACCTAGCTTGGCTGCCTGCAACATTCCCCCCTCTGAAGAAGTAACCCGAACTGTTATGAGGGAACCATGGGTGATGACCACTCTGGCTTCTTCAAGCTGAAAGGAGTTGTAGTTGTTGACCAGCAGTCAGATATATTCTTCAGAGGTTCTATCTAAAGGCCCTCAATAGGTCCTCGTGCCTGTGCGTGGTGACGTTATGTAGCCCGTGCACGCTATATCAGACCAGACGAGGTGGTGTCGGACGGCGCGGCTGTCAGCACTTGGCCGGCCCCTCAGCTATGGCAGTATTCCAGGACGAGGTGGAGATCGAGGACTTTCAGTATGATGAGGACTCGGAGACGTATTTCTACCCCTGCCCATTTGGGGATAACTTCTCCATCACCAGGGAAGATTTGGAGAACAGAGAAGACATGGCAATGTGTCCTGGCTGCTCTCTTGTTATAAAAGTGATTTATGACGAGGATCAGTTCATGTGTGGAGAAATAGTCCTAGCCCCTTCAAGCAACAAAGAACTGGTTAAATGCTGAAGAAGCCTTCAGAAATTCAAATCCAGAGTAACTGGATGGAAATTGCAAGTGAAAAGGCCCTGGCTTTCCAATGACGAGTGCTTTATGATGTGCTGTTCTTTTGGAGGGTCGATCTGTTCATCAACTGCTGTGTTTGTCTTCAGAAAGAGAAGGAAGGGCCTGGGGAGATAGCTCAGTAGCATGAATACCTACCTGGCAAGCGCAAGGTCCCAAGTTTGATCCC